AGAAAGGGGCACAATTTATGCCATACTGGTAAAAGTTCACAATAGGAAAAGAGACAGTTGTTTTGTATCCTGCAGGATACAGCTTTTTAGAGCGTTTACACTTTCACTGTACCCTGACAACACATATAAACACACACACATTGTATAGCACATCCCAATATTCACTCTGAACCAGAAAGCAGTCATTAAAAACAAAAACATTTAAAAAACAAAACAAATCTGTCTTTATTTATTCAGACACCTTCAATGTTTCTCACATGATCACATCAGTTTATTTGCTATAATTTATAAAATGGTAATAAAATATGAGAGTAAATCAACTCAGAGTTAGTTATCAAATCAGCTGATATTTCACTGGCTTTGGCCATCCTTCTGTTAGACTGAATCATTTTTAGTTTGACTGTATTCATAATCATATAAATCAATATTAGCATCATTACTCCAGCCTTCAGTATCACATGACATATCACTTCAGAAATAATCATTTAAATATGCTGATTTGCTAAATAAACAGTTCAGCCATGAACCTCTATTCACGCTCTGCTTGGTTGTTTCAATGTAGCACAGCCAATCGATTTAATGTATCCATACTTCCTAACACACTATGCAAGTTCTCATCCTAACTCTCCACCTCCACAGCACCACCTATATCTTATGTGGGTAGTTTCCCTCTCTCTTGCAGACGCAGCGTGTTTGCCTTCAATTTATGTTCTGAGCATTTAGCAGAAGCACTATAGAGTTACTGCATGAGTCCCTTAGGGACCATGGAGACAGGATGGGGAGACAGGGTGTGTGTGCACATCAGGGTGTCTGCTCCTCCTCGTGCCACTGATATCTACCATATGTGTGTTACTCATCACCTTTTAGAGTACACACAAACACACACCCTCACATGCATACTTGCACACTGACACACTACTGAATGTGAAGCTCTGAAGCTCAAATCAATTCATTTCGAGGCATTACTTTGACTCATAACCTTTAATATCTAGCCTGAGGCCTCTGTCAGATGTCAGTGCAGGTTTATTGGAAGCCCACGGTGATTAATTGCTTTATTCCGGAGTCTTCCTCTGTTTATCACTTCTCTTATCTGCCACAGACAGACATGATGTCAGAGTCCAGGAGCTGCCATGCTGTGACAGCTCAACCGTCAAGCGTCATGCGAACGATTTAAACAGACATGTTTTTAGATAAAGCCTTTGCCAAGGTTTTAGCTCTACACTTCACGATGGGGATTTCAGTCAATTATCACACTTTGCTGAAAGGAAAGTCTTAGTCAACATCTCATAGGCCTCTTTTTTTTTTTTGTGCTAGTTCGTTCTCTAAGTCATAAATCATATCAAACATTTGAGAAATAATCGTTAGATCAAATGTACACTGTAAAAAATGAATACGCTTTATCTAATCAATAAAAATGTGCATGGCAACAGATTACAAAGAATATTATTAATTAAATTGAACAAATTAGAATTGAGTAAAAAAATAATCAAATTATTCTTTAAAAGTTAACCATTTAAAATGAGTAAAGTTTATAACAAAAAAATAATCAAAAATATGTGAATAACAGACAGACGTCAAAGATTAAGAACTCTTTATTTTATAACATTGAAGGCACCTGATGTTAACAAGCAGAATCACTGAAGGAGAAACCTAAATCACACTAAATCGACTTAAATCACATAATCAGATCAGATCATAATAATCACTTAAATGCATAATATTCACTTAAATGTAATTATGCATTTAAGTACAGAGTGATAGCAATAACCTACATGTACAGTAAATTATGCAAAATGTACTGTTTATACTATAGTAAGTACATCATGTAACAGACACCATGAAATAAACTGTTACTGAATTGTTATTGCAGCTATTTTAATATTAATATTACTTAATTTATTATTGAACATTAATTAACAATGTATAACAGTTAATCCATAACATTTATGAATAGTATAACATGCTATATGTTATATATATATATATATATATATATATATATATATATGATCTCTCTCTCTATATATATATATATATATATATATACACATGCAAAGATTAATTGCGATTAATCACATCCAAAATAAAAGTTTGTGTTTACATAATATATTTGTGCATGCTATGTATAATTATTTTGTATATATAAATACACACGCATGCATGTATATATTTAAGAAAATGTGTTATTCACGTGTAAAATATTTATATTTATATATAGTATAGATTATGTATATAAATATATCCATTTACGTGCATAATTCTTAAATACAAAATAATTATACACACACATACATTATGTAAACACAAACTATTATATATATATATATATATATATAGTATATATATAAAGATTTGGCAATTGTTAGTTCATATTATCTAAATTAGTTCATAGCACCTAAATCAACTACTTAATCTTTTTTGTTTAACAAACTGAACCTTACTGTCAAGTGTTGTTATTGTGTAACCTCTTTAATACATTTACATTACCTTTCATTAATTGATTTAATCAGTAAAGCTCATGAACTATCATGGCACGAGTTAGAAAATACAATCAAGAAATTCCAGAGATTCCTGAAGAGAGCAGTTCAGTTCTCCAGCATGTGGTTGTGCTGATCCTCCTCACAGCAGGAGTCTGAGTAGCTGGATCAGGTGTGTTTGTGTGGGGATCAAGCCAAAACCTGCAGGACCACCCCTTCTCGGACAGATCAAGATAATAACTTTAGATTCGGACCGTATCTCGGTTATTATATACTTGTGATCTCAGACAACAAACCCACCCATGAAAAGAAAGAAATAACAGAAATAACTCTTTCTTTTCAGGGTCGCATCTATGCTTCACATCTAATCTATCTGCTGCTCATCTCTCGTCTCAGTCTACAGGTCAAACAGCCCAATATAAAGAGTGGAGCTGTTAGGCGCCTCTGCCAACGAGGACCAATTGATTGAGTTAGACCTATAGAAATATGTGGTTATATCCTGAGGCATGTCTGTCTATTTACACAGGCAGGAACCTGCAAGACCTTGGGGTGAAGTAAAAGTGTCATACCATGATGCATAGCTTCAACATTTACGCTTCAAGCAAACCTGCCAAATATAACAGGTAATTGTATTATAGAACACAAAATAAGAAATGAAACCAGTGGATTATTGTAAATTAAAGGGATAGTTCACCCAAAAAATGAAAATTCTGTCAGTATTTACTCACCCTCATGTTGTTCCAACCCCGTAAGACCTTCGTTCATCTTCGGAACACAAATTAAGATATTTTTAATGAAATCTGAGAGCTGGATCACTCCTCCACAGGCTTCTTAAGGGATTGAAACTTGTTCCCCGAAAAGTTATTAAAGACATCATTAAAATAGGCCAAGTGACAACAGTGGCTCAATCCTAAGTTTATCAAGCAACAAGAACACTTTTTGTGCGCAAAAAACAAACAAAAATAACGACTTCATTCAACTATTAATTTCCCTCTCTGTGGGCCTCGAGTGAGATCACTAGTTTAACAGCGTAAGCTTCTGTTGTTGTACGTCACACGCATTACACACGACCAGCGTCGGCACATGATGAGTCTCGATTTCTGCTGCGACATTCGGATGGTATAGGGTCAGAATTTGGCGTCTACAACATGAAAGCACGGATCCATCCTGCCTTGTATCAACGGTTCAGGCTGGTGGTGGTGGTGTCATGGTGTGGGGAATATTTTCTTGGCACTCTTTGGGCCCCTTGGTACCAATTGAGCATCGTTGCAACGCCACAGCCTACCTGAGTATTGTTGCTGACCATGTCCATCCCTTTATGACCACAATGTACCCAACTTCTGATGGCTACTTTCAGCAGGATAATGCGCCATGTCATAAAGCTGGAATCATCTCAGACTGGTTTCTTGAACATGACAATGAGTTCGCTGTACTCAAATGGCCTCCACAGTCACCAGATCTCAATCCAATAGAGCATCTTTGGGATGTGGTGGAACGGGAGATTCGCATCATGGATGTGCAGCCGACAAATCTGCGGCAACTGTGTGATGCCATCATGTCAATATGGACCAAACTCCCTGAGGAATGCTTCCAGCACCTTGTTGAATCTATGCCACGAAGAATTGAGGCAGTTCTGAAGGCAAAAGGGGGTCCAACCCGTTACTAGCATGGGGTACCTAATAAAGTGGCCGGTGAGTGTATATTAACACAAAAATATTAAGCAGTGAAGCAACTGCTTTCAATATTGATCTAAAAAGATAAATGTTTCTTGGGCAGCAAATCTAAATACTAATTTCTGAAAGATCATGTGACACTGAAGACTGGAGAAAGGATGTGAAAAATTCAGCTTTCAATAACAGAAATGAATTACGTTTTACAAATTATTTTAAATAGTAATAATATTTCACAATTTTAGAACTAGTAAATGCAGCCTTGATGAGCATATAGACTCAAAACATAAATTCACACCCAAATCTTTTAAACACTTCAGGCTGTCACTAACCCTTTCAAAAGATACAGCGTTACCTAAAAAGTGGATATTTACACATTAAAGGTACATAAAAATATTTTTTTTTCTGAAAGAAGCCAACATGGTTGAGATCTCTCCATATTTCCACAATCACTCAGATTTTTGCTTTAACAAAAAGTAACAAAAAAAAAAAAAAAAAGCTATAATAACATCTTATCTGAATAATAGAAGTGGCAGAAATGGGAGGCGTGTGTTTGCAGAGCTTATACTCGTGCCAGTGAATATGATGGTCAGCAATAAAGCTCCAGTTGGCAGTTGTCACTGGTAATTTGTGACCAGAGACATGGGTTTAGACCTCAAACAGAAAAGAAAGAAAAGCTCTCTAATTTGCTACTTTGTACAGGCCATCGCAGATGACCCAAAGCATTAAGGTTTCGGTTTACAGCAGCCTCTTTGATGGCTTTTCTTGCGGTAATTGAAGCGCAGCAGTGACAGAAAACAGACACGTCCTGTGACCCAGTGGGAAACGGCGCCTTCGTCCAGCACAGCAAATATATAGTCTTATTAGAAGTGCTTTTATTTGTACAAAATCTACATAGATTTGACAGTCAGTTGTTGAGGATGATTAAATATTAGACTTACAAATCAAAGTTTTTGAGTAATTAAGAAAAAAAACAAAAAAACAGTGCTCCCATTAGTTCAGAGAAAGAAAAGAAAATTTTATAAGATGAAACTGAAACAGAATAGTGAATATTTCAGCTATTATTAAAATGTAACGTAAATTAAAATGACTCCCTATAACATTGAATCATGTCCAAAACAAACAAACAAAAAACCCCAGCACATTTTAGCTGTTTTGTAACATACTTCTCTCCACAGATGATGATTGTACAAGCATCTGTGAATCTAAATAAACTCCCAATGTAACAGGGCAAATGCAATGAATCTTATGTAAAGAATGTGCGCCATCTGGTGGCGTGAGATGGAGTAGGCTTCACGAAATATGACATATCTCTTCAGTTTCTCTCATATTAGCAACAAAATAAATACATGTTAAAGAGACAATCAAAAATAATTTCAACATCACATCTACCACATTTGTGCTTTTTTTTCTTTTGGTGTTTCATTAAATGTCACAAGAAACAAATTCAAAATGCATTTATTTTTTTGTGATTATGAAAAAAACTCAAGAAGTTAGCCAATACTTGTTACAGGGACAATAACCGAAAAGGGATAACTTTATACTTAATTTACCCCCCAAAAAAATGGTATATAATGTGTACACATCTTTTAGGGGTAGAAAAGGTATAAAAGTGTCCCATTTAAAGTACTGTGACATGCTCTCATGCCCCTAAAGGTATAATTTTTGCACACAAGTGAAGTTTAATGATATTACAACTTAAATTGCTTCTTATTTGTGTTTTCAGTACATTTGTATGCAGCCACTCACGATGGTAACAGACATGATGTTGAAACGATGCTCCATTGCTCTTAATATTATGTGTTGCACATGTTAAAATGGTTAAGTGATGCTGAAAAAGAATACAAACTCTTACAATAGTGGTCAAAAGAGTGTCTATATGTAAAACTGTTAGATGGGCGAATCACACATTTGTATCATTTCTTGCAAAATGACCGTACATTGTTAAGCAGCGAATAACACAATAACAAGCCAAACATATTCGATTATAAAGTCTGTTCTGCTTATGATTGAGGAATAATGGAAGAACTAATATCCAGATCCGTTTGTGGAGTTCCAGCACGGGAAAAAATAAGGAGGTCTGTGTATACGGTGACACCGAAATGTCTTTATATCATTTGATCCTTCTTGTCGTTACGCTTGCTATATTCCTGAAGTGAAGATACTGACGCCGAAGATTTTTCGAACTGTATTGATCGTCTCCAAAACATCCAAATACATTCACAGTTTTTTCCTCCCATGTTGCCCTGATGCATAAAGCGGCTGCTGGTTCCCAATACTGCATTCGATTTCTCCCTGAACGTTGAGGTCGGAGCTACAGGTACGTGTCCTCTGAACCCACGCTCTCAAATGAGTGACGTAAACCAGGAACTGCGGGAGCTGCGACCGAGTCTCCGTTCACAGGAAGAAGCGGAGTGGAGTCTGTAGTGGGTGGAGGATCTTTAAGGTGGGCTGAGTTGTTGGTGTTGTTTGAGTTTTTAGGGAAAGAAAGGGGTTCAGCTGTGACTTCCGGGTTGGAGGAGTGAGGGAGCTCGGTGGGGTGTGTGGGATTGGGGTCCGGTGAGATTCGAGGTGGCGGCGGGGTGCGAGAAAGACTTGGAGATGGATTTGGGGTTGGGATGACAGAGAGAGATGGATTTGGGATGGCAGAGTGACATGGATTTGGGTTTGGGATGGTTGGGATGTTGGAGAGAGCTGGATTTGGGATGGCAGAGGGAGATGGACTTGGGTCTGGAATGGTTGGGATGACGGAGAGAGATGGATTTGGGGTTGGGATGACGGAGAGAGATGGATTTGGGGTTGGGATGACGGAGAGAGATGGATTTGGGGTTGGGATGACAGAGAGAGATGGATTTGGGATTGGGATGGCAGAGGGACATGGATTTGGGTTTGGGATGGTTGGGATGACGGAGAGAGATGGATTTGGGATGTCAGAGAGAGATGGATTTGGGGTTGGGATGACGGAGAGAGATGGAGTTGGGATGACAGAAAGAGATGGATTTGGGGTTGGGATGATGGAGAGAGATGGATTTGGGATGGTAGAGGGAGATGGATTGGGGACAGAGGCTGGTGGATCAGAGCAAGGTTCTGTCTTCTCAGGTGTAGTGAGGAGGGATTGCTGTAGTGATGGAGTAGGACGGTTGGACTGTTTGTCTTGTGTTTTATTTTTAAGTGGGTCTGGTTTGGGGTCTGTTGGTAAGGCATACGGATTGGGGACGTCCAATGGAATGGGGGCTTTTCGGATAGTGCTTCTTTTCCTGAGGCGAGCGAAATCGGATTTAGTGTCAGAGTGCAGGGGATATTGAACGACGATGGTGGGGTTCTGACGGAGGTCTTGGCGGGAGTGTGGCTCAGCAGACATGATGGCCTGAGCGCCGTGCATTCTGGGAGGGGACTTGTAGCTGAGTTCGCCGTGGGTTTTCCGCCAGCGCTTAAGCTGCAAGCGGTGCTCTCGTTCAACATCCCGAGCGGATATAGGGAGCTCTAACACCTGTATGTGCAGAAGAGAAGATTCAACATCAACATAGTAGTCTTGTTGTTTTGAACTCAAACTCCAATGTCATGTTCATAAAAGTTCCTACCAATAAAACCTGTTTATTATCAGTTATTAATTGAATATCTGGTAAAAGAAAAGAAATGGTGCCATCTGTTGAATCTTTAAAGAATAGCACCCAAAAAGCAGCTTTCTTTTAAGGCAAGTAACTCACTTAGTTAATGCAATTATGTTCATATTAGTAACATTATGTAATTAAGACATTAAGTCAAAGCAACATTTGACGTGTTTGAGGAGTTTGATTTAAAACCAAACGGTTCGCTTTGATTCTTTGCTTTCTATTTGTGATGTCAATGTCTTAACCCAAAAATTCTGAGATTATGGCAATAAATATCCAGTCAGTTTTTTGGTACAAAATGAGTGTATGAATAGTTGATTGTTTCATGAACAAGTGAGCTTCAGATTTATAAAACCTAAACCTTTAGTTTAACATGAATGTTTATATTCATGCAAAGTTGATTTTTGATCTAAAATTATTATAGACTATTGTTAAAAAAATGTGGGGTTTGTAAGAATCGTTTTGTTTTTGTCAAAAATAAATGATTTTGACAATCATAACAAATGTTTCTTGAATGATTTCTGATGGATCATGCGACACTGAAGACTAGAATAATGGCTGCTGAAAATTAACCTGTCATCACAGGAATAAGTTACATTTTAAAATATATTAAAAAGGAAAACAATTTTACCATTTAAAATGCAAATATATTTAACAATATTACTGCATTTATGATGAAATAAGCCCTAAAATTTCAAATGAATGAATATTGATAGTATAGGATTACCATTATTTGTATTTGTTTTTTGTAGTTTTATTTTAGTTAAAAGCAAGACCAAAACAGAAAAGCTAAATTATTCTCATGGTTGGGTACTTGACAAAATTAATAAAAAACAAACAAACAGAAAAAAGCTCCAAAATATGCAAATAATTGAATAGTGGACACAGGTTACTTCATGCTCGAAATGAAACCCATGTGTTAAATATTGGTTCTACATATAAAGTATCATACACAAGTCAAAACATAATTGCTATATATTTCACTTGTATATCTACTCAAAACCCGAATGCAGTAAACCAGCGTGAGAGTGTGTGTTTGCTACCTGATGGACGAGAAAGCCCTCCTGCATGTACTGCGGCTCCAGGGCTCGAAGAAGCTCCATGGTCTCATACTGACCAGGACAAGCCTTCAGTTTCTCCCGAGATCCCAGCATACATTTGAGCAACACAAGCCCAACACGGAACATTATCTTCACTCCTTTTTAAAAGAAGGACAAATAAAAAACACAGTCAGAGAGTTGATGACAAGCCAGCCTGTGTGGTAATATGTGTTAAGTGAATCTGACCGTCACACAGGAACATGTCCCACACTCTGAGCACAGACGCCCAGGGTAGAGTTCTGGAAAATGCACACATGTACCACTCCGTCATGTAGAGGATGGGCTCTATCTTGTGTTTCTCAAGGTGCCGATACGCCGGAGGGCTCACACGCTTTAATAGCGCATTTAAGATCAGTCCATCCAACTGTATGGCTTCCTACAACAGAATTAAGACGGTGGAGGTTTTCTCGTTGACTTGAAAAGATGCCAATGTTTTTAATTATACAGGCATTGTTATATTATTTACAGCAGCAATTCTACATTTACATGCTTAAGGCGATAATAGATTATATTGAAATGAGTTTTTCCCTTTGGAAACCACAGATATTTAATTTACTACTCTACTCTTGTGCTGCTTACAACACATAGAACAAAAGAAGTTTTGTAGTGTTTTTACTGGCACCTATGGCACATGTTGTCTCAAAAACATGACTCAATGTTTGCAGATTGAAAACAAGGAACTTTAGATATGAACGCTATGAATAGAATGCAAACTATGAACCTGAGAATGTCTCTGAGGAAAACAGATCAGGTTTCGATTACCTAAAACTATGACGTCCATAATACTTAGTCTTCATCCACAATGCTCTTCACTGAAATGGTCTGGTAAATGGTTGTAAAATATAGGCACTTCATAATGTACAATTGCCATCTTACAACCAATAGATAACTTTTAAACACAATGTTGGGTAGATCTCGCAAGTAAAGTCACATTTATTTATATAGTGCTTTATATAATACAGAGAGTTGCAAAGCAGCCTTATATTAATAATTGTGAAATAACTGGATATTAACTGTGAAAGGGTTAGTTCACCTAAAAATTTAAATTCTGTCATTTACTCACCCTCGTGTCGTTCCAAACCTGTATGACTTCCATTAATCTTTGGAACACAAATGAAAACTATATTTTTAATGAAATCTGAGAGCTTTCTGTCCCTCTATTTACAGTCCACGCAACTTACACTTTGATGCTTCAAAAAGTTCAAAAAGAGATTGTTAAACTAATCCAAATGAACTGAGCTGTTTTGTCCAAATGTTCCAAAGAGACTCTTTTGCTTTATATAATGAACAGATGTATTTAGGCTTTTAATCGCATAAACATTCATCAACTCACACATCAGTAAATGGAAGCTTAGCTCACAAATGTTTTCTTGACATGCGAGAACCAATGACGTTCATTCTTGTGTTACGCAGCACTAATGAGCTTCTGCATGAGGTTTGTTCTTGCACATCATGTAGGTTCGCTTAAGCTTCCGTTTATGTTCGCTGATCAATGTTTATTTGTGAATAAAAGCCTAAATTAAATCATATAAAATGTTCTTGTGTGTCGTGAAAATTTAGATTAAACCACTCACTATGGATTAAACTATGGATTAGCTTTGCAGTCTTTTTATTAACTTTTTGACGCAGCAAAGTATCAGATGCATTGGCTTTCAATGGAGTGATAGAAAGCGCTCAGATTTCAGTAAAAATAACTTAATTTGGGAAGATGAATTAAGTCTTATGGATTTGAAAAGACATTTCATTAGGTAAATAATGAAATTTTCATTCTTCGGTGAACGAACCCTTTAAAGTTGTAAAATTGATGAAATACTAAATAAATGCTCTACAAAAGACAAGTGTACAAAATGAATCCCTGTCCCGCCAAAGAATTGCCACCACTGAAGACCATTTTAACCCAGAAAAAACCCTGAACAGTGTAATTATTCAGCTCAAGCCAGTTCATACAATTCTGTATGTAAGTGTTGTTGGAAAATTAGTCTCATTACCCAGTTTAAATCTTGTTCTCACCTGACAAGCACTTTTTGTCTCCCCTTTATGGATTAGATTGAATAGAAATTTCTTAAATAGTAAGTAACAGGTCTTACCAGGCCTGCACTGTAGTATCCAGGGAGGTACTTCTCACAAATTTGAACCAGACCCCAAAATGCATCCTGAATACACAAAATAAACAAACACGATTTGTCATTTCAATCATTACTTAAGTATTGTGCAGTACACAAATGATCATTTTTACCTCAGCAGGCATGTGCATCAGAAGCACCGCTGCTATAGGAGCCTGAGCCTGACAGTAACCCTCATCCGGTCTGTACAGGGTGTAAGCCTTCAACACCCGGAACAGGTCCTGCTGCCTGCTCAAAGACACACAAACACAAGCAGTGGAACTGGTGGACTTTGCAAAAAACAGATATAACCAATATGGTTCCATACATCTCATTGAATAAATAAATAAATAAATATTGAATAAATTAATATATTTCAAAATTGTATTTATTCATGTGAAGACAAAAGCTGAGTTTTTAGCATTATTATTCCAGTCTTCAGTGAATCACATTAATATGATGTCACGTTTGAAAACTGTTGTGCTGCTTATTAATTTTTGTGTAAACAGTAATACATTATAGAAATTTCAAAAGAACAGTATTTATTTAAAATTGTAGTTTACTTACATTATAAATGCCTTAACTGTCACTTTTGACCAATTTAATGCATTTTCTGAATAGAAGTATTCATGTCTTAAAACCATATAAATATAAAATATAATACATTTAAATAAATAAACATGCACACATCTATATTTGTGTGTATAATGTGTAATAAAAAAAAAACATGAATAGAAAATTATGAAGACTAACCCATGACCTCCTCGGGACACAAACATCTCATGGAAGGGGAACTGTCTGTGTAGATCTCTCTCTATCACATCAATCCACTTTGGGTCTCCCTCCATGCTATCCAACTCCTATTCAACAACAACACAATCCACAAGTTCATCTCACAGTCATAAACAGTAAGACAGATCATATTGTAACCTATATATGTCATAAAACAGTTTAAGCAGAAGAAATGCACGGGTTTAACACATCTAGATATCGTAGTAAGGTTGCAGCTCCCAGGTTGAGAAGCTCTACAGTAAGGAATGCATAGTGACACATCTAATGCAACCACTTCATCAAGTATGTGTAGACCTGACTGACTCACTTTGAACTTCCCGACGTTTTGCTCTCTTTTCACTTTTCCACCTGACAGGTACAGCCAGGCCCTGCCTCGCAATGACGGTGGGATCCCTTTCTGACATCGCAGTCGCACCTGCGGGTGACAGAGGTCTGAACGTCACACACCGATGCAGTAATATTCAGATAAGCGGGGACAAGCAGGGACAAGCATGCACTCACAGCGATGATCATGTTATCTAAAAACATTTTTAAAAAAAGCTTTTTTTATATATATGATAAAGTATATTTAGGATAAAGAACTAGAGAATCCAACTTTTTCTATGATTATGTTATCGAAAAACATAAAAAAAAGGTTATTTTTTTATATTATAAACTTTATTCATGATAAAGAAGCAGAGAATTCAATTTTTTTGGAAAAGAAATTAATATTTGGCCCTTTTCTTCCTCATGCCATTCTAAACTGGCTTTCTTTAACAAAAAAAATACATTTTAAAATGTCTATTTTAATGGAGTTCAATGCTCATTTACCCAAATGTTCTTCAAAATATCGACGTGTGTGTTCAGAAAGAAATGCATAATGGTTTGGAAAGATATAAGGACTAATGACAGAATGAATAATGAATATAGGCTAAAATTCATCGTTCAAAAGACTGAAAATTTGTAAAAACAGCCTGCTAGACTGTGTGTTACCATCAATATAATACAATAAACGTATAATATTCAATAGAGTTTATATAAATGATATATACTCTTAACTATTTTTTAAAATAAATGTCTTACTTCCCTTGATTTTCCCCATAAAGTTTACATTAAATCAAATGAAACCTCGAGAAACAATTCCTTTGGCTATTTGAAACCTCTTTTACTGTCTATGTTCGAATCTTAGAAAGTAGGCTAACTAATATAATTTTAATTTAAGTAATTTCAATCTGGGATGTGAATGGACAAACCTCAACAGGAAATGCTATTCTTGATTCGCCATGAAAATGTCATGAAATGCATCTAGTTTCAGTCAGAACTGTTTCCAATTCCTAACCCTAGAACTGTGTCTCTGTTTTCAATCTCTGTGCGACACAAAGACGAGCACACACAGTAATACAGGCATGCAAACACAAAATGGCAACAAAGACTGGTAAGGCGGCCTCTGGCAAAACTCTTCCGTCGTCTTTACCTGAAGACGCCTCGCTCCCGGTGAAAGCTTTATAAAGCTTAAGAGAAAAACAGAGGTGAACACTTAGACTAATAGATACACACATCACTGAAGACCATATAAGGAAAGCTGCCGATATAAGGCTTGTCCAGACAGGGCCTCTTTGAAACGATTGTGTCATAATGTCATTCTGCTGAGGTTTTTAATTAATCCACACAGCAGTGGAACTGTCTGAGCAAGTCAAAATGGGGAAACACGAGAAGAAAGGGAATAAAAGAGAAGATAACAATAACCATTTAAAGCCCTAAGCCCTGATACATGGAGATGATTTCCTCATATTTTCACAGTTTGGTGGTGTACCTTCTCTTTTTCTATCTAGTGCGTACATGTAAGGCACTGGAAAACATCTGACATCACTGATCTGTTCCTGGGAACATGCTGTGAAAATGAACACAACTGACTGTCGATGGCAGCTCCTACCTTCTTGAACCTTTTACTGATCCATCTGTCCCAGTGGTTCAGCATATCCAACCATTTGATTTCCCTGTGCCTTAACACTTCCAAAGGCACTTCTTGAGCCCTGTGTTGGAGAGAGAGAGACATAAAGAAAAAACAACAACCCCAAATTAGTTCATCAAAGAAAATGCCACATGCTATTGGTTCTCATAACCCATCACACCACAACATCAAGTTAGAATATGCAAATGAGAGGTGAATGAATACAAATTAGAAATTACTGCAACTTTTACAATACTTTTATCCTACTATGGGCATTTACTATGATTTTATGGAAAATAGCAGCCAACAGAGTCTGCTTAACTTCTCTTTTTGTGTTCCACAAAAGAAAAAAAAATGAAGTCATAAGGGTTTGGAATGAAATGAAGGGGGAGTAAATAATGACAGAATGTTTATTTTTTGGTGAACTATTCATTTAATCTATAAAAACATACTAGGCTACATCAGAAAGAGTGTGCTTTTCACAGCAAAAAACTGTGCAACCACTAAACCAATGACCAAAATAGCTTCTTCAACAAAACCTCAAACATGCGTCATTCGTCACATTTACTTCCTTCATATAAATAAATACTTTATCACTTTAATAAAAAGTCACTTTATAATATCACTTTAATAAAACGTTTTTTAATTCAGATTACAACCACCTTACCGCATATTTGATATGGTATACTTTACTGTAACCAATGAAAATGTATGCACATTGCAAAATGTAAACAATGCAAGGAAAGACATCATGTTATCTAATATAATCTTCAATATGAGTTCCTCATTCACACACACCTCCATTTTATGATGAAACTTAATGAGGAAGGCAGGCATTACAAATTGTGAAATGTTTTTATGCACCACCATTAAATGTTTAGGGTGAGTAAGATTTTTTAGGGTTAAATTTCATTAAATTGATCACAAGTGACAGAAAAGAGATTTGTAATGTTACAAAAGATTTCCATTCCAGTTCTTCTGAACTTTATTTTCATCAAAGAATCCTGAAAAGAATTAAGCAGCACAATCATGTGACACTGAAGTAAAGATGCTGAAAATTCAGCTTTGATCAGAGAAATAAATTATTTTAAAATAGATTCAAATATTAATATTTTTTTAACAATATTCCAGTTTTTATTGTATTTTAATCAAGTAAATGCAGCCTTGGTGAACATTAGAGACATTCAAAACATTTTTTTTTTTAATCTTACAGACCACAAATTTATGAACAAGAAAAACAACTGGTGGAAACAAGCTTATATCAGAAATTTAAGGACAGAATTAACCTGAAACAATTTCAAGACTTATGTAAGCAGTTAAATAGCCATTTAGTAGATGACAACGGTAGACACTTTTATCCTGACTATTTTCAGGGAGATTCTTCCTGGGCTCTTAACCTGTGGTAAACTATTTTTCTTAAGGCTACAATGGTGATGGAAAAGGCCTGTACAATTTGCACCTGTGTTCCCCCAGAGTCAAATTTAAACCATTTAGCTTGTGGCCTAGATATTTACATAAATACCAGTTTGGCAGCACACCAACCACCAGATAGCTTCTCCTTTACTTAGACACTAATCTTTACCACTAGAAATTTGATCTGAAAGCAATGTTTCTTTCAATATTATTTGTCCTATTGAGCTAAAACTTAGGTATTACTTCCTTTTCATCTTCAAGAGCAATTCTGACCAAAAATGGAGGAACCAAGAACAGAATCCATGAGTTATGTTTGGGGCCGGTCTCTCTCTCTCCGGTAGCTGGCAGAGAGGGTGTAACCTCAGGGCTCCCAAAAACCACAGGAAACGGAAAGCAGCTGTACACTCAGTACAGAGGGACAACTATCACTTACTCATCTATTCCATTCTCTTTAACAATTCACAATGAATAGACCAGCCTGCCGCCGTCTCAGGCTACCGTTTAAAACCGTTAATTCTTAATAGTGATGTGGTGACCATCCCAGATCCAGGCGGCTCTGTAAATGACATGAATGTGTTGTCCTCTGTAGACTGGAGAGTCTTTGATAAAGACACTAACCTGAGGCAGATGTCTCGTTGATAAAAGACAGGAAGCTTTAACAAGATTGCAACTGGCTGCGGAGCAAGTGAGGATGAAACGCCCTGACGCTCCATTTAAACCACATCAATGAAAACCAACAAAAAACTGTTTATGCCCATGTCCAATGAAAAGAAAGTTGACAGTTTCTTACATCCGTCTGAACTGGTTCAACGAGTTGCCCAAAACAAATTCACTAAATCTACAAAAAGATTGGGTAATCACGATGAGTTGAAAAATACATGCTTTGATTTTGTTTGCTTAAGTTTGATCAGCCGCCAACCACCAATTTATATTTTTTTTTAAAGAGAGGAATTGTTGTGCTTAGCAAAAAGGATGTACCGATGTAGGAATGTATTGAGTAATATTTTAACAGTTCAATGACTAATTTTGTGTGGCCATTTTACTTGGCTGATGTAAACAGTTCAAGACCTGAGCTGTGTATAAACAGATCCGGTCAAAAGTTTGGAAACATTACTAATTTTTAATGTGTATGAAACAAGTCTCTTATGATCAATAACAGGGAAAAATAATAGTCATATAGTGCAATATTGTTACAATTTCAAATAATGGTTTACTAATTTTAATATACAGCATTTATCAATTTCAGAATCATTAATCTTTTCACAGTGGATGGATCTGACACCTGTGATCAGGCAGATATCAGGATTCATGCTTGTGCACGGAATATAATGAAAAAGACACCCAAAGTACTTATTTAATTACATAACAAATATCAATAATTTTTACTTTAATTAAAAACATGTTTTATAAAGGCTATATATTTTTTATAAACATATCGAATAACCCATAGAGATCACTGTCAGAGAGTTTGGGAATACTCAGACATAATTTATATTTAATTTTGATCAACGCAGTCGGTGGAGAGCAATTGCGCCGGACTGCAGAATCCGACACATCCGCCTTGCGATTGCGTGAGATTTTTGACATACGTCAGCATGAAATCAGAGCCAATCGGATCCCCAGTCGGACACATTTCTAAACGAAGCCTATCTTCATCTCAAACAAGCCTATTTTCCTTCGGTACTACGTCTGGGTTTGCTGTATATTCTTGGGTTTTCTTTTCTCCGATCAATTTTCTACCGGTCCAATCCGTGAACAGAGGGAGTGGCTGAGAATGACGACGTTGAGGTGCGCTAGTTTGAGTTGTAGACATACGTCTCGAGTCATCATGACCAAATATTAGCCATTGGTTATGGCAGATCCAGATAACTATGCTTATCTGGAGATCATAACAGACAATTATGCTCGCAAAAGTAAACACAATGAATGGCGACTGCAGAAAGCAAAAGCTGAATCCAGGACATCGACGGCCGGATATGTTCGGGAAAAGGAGGATGGTAACCCCTACTACTCAGCTTTCTCCAAAGAACAAGAGCCTGCTAGCTTAGCTTTCAAAAAAGATGTCTGACACTATGTGTTCATTCTGTGAGTGAGATCCCACCCTCTATGGGCGGGTTGAAAACATGCGGGACAGCCCCTACTACTGACTGTAGTCTTTAGCCTCTGGCCAAAAAAAATCCTCTGATGACGCAAAATGATGATTTTTGCATCATCGGAGGATTGTTTTCAGACAAAAATACTTAAAGTCCCCGTGAACCGGAAGTTGCAAACGATTTTTCTCCAGTGCTGTGACGTATTTCCAAGTGAAACGGAATATTGAACAGAGGGCAGGATTTTACTCTAGCGCTCCTCCTCTCCATCTCTCGCTCATAGCAAACTAACGGTTTGAGGGGAGTGGTTAAGCGTTTCCCCACCCAAACTGTGAAACCTACGTCATCAACCGTTCCAGACCGGAAGTAACTTTTCAGATTTTGATTAAAGATTACCAAGGTAAAACATTTTTTTAATATATATTTACTTGCGCGGATTAATTGTTCACCACAAGACTAGTAATATGCGCTAACAAAGTAAATAGGTTCAATTTTGATTTCACGGGGACTTTAATACATAAATCTCTCATCTCAGGGGGATATTAGGGTGGAAAGCATGATAATTTGAAAATACTATAGATTTTCTACTAATACAAAGCTTAATGCTAAATCCTGAAGTATCGCTTTAACGCTTGTCAATGGAGAGCGGCCAGACTCTCTGCAAAAATGAAATGTGTACAAGAGTCTGATAGGACCAGGCTAACTTATTCAGGATTCATTGATCAATAAAATTTTTTTAAAAAAGAACAGCATTTATTCAAAATAAAAATCTTTTGTAACAACATACCCCTTTACTAACACTTTTTTATCAATTTAACACATCCTTGCTGAATAAAACTATTCATTTCTTTCAACAAAAGAAAGAAAACAATACTGTCACCAAACATTACCCAAAAAAATAACAAATCAAACAAATAAAAACAAATCTTAATCATTATTATTATTAATTTAAATGGTTTCATTAACATTAACACTCGCTACCATGATTTCAAATATACTATAACCTTTAGAAAAGTCATGCTCTTTACTTTTCCTACCATTGGGCTACACAATTATTAATAAACACACACACACACACAGAGAGAGAGAGAGATAGAGAGAAATTAGGTTAAGCAACGGTAATTCATTCACACAGATTCCTTTGTTTTGAATTCTTCGGTTAAACTGTGTCAAGAATGTAAACTGCATTACTTTCAATTGCTTTCCTGCGTACTACTCACACACCCATTGAAGTCCAAGCATGCTCAATCACGTGACTTTGCCTTTCCCAGATCAAGCAACACAAACAGGATTTGATGAGATCCACTAAACCACTTACGATTCGGTTGAATACTTCTGGGCTCCTCCGATGAATCCATACTTGTCAGTTTGTCTCGAGCTCGTGAATCCGTTGATTTCAGAGTCCGACCCGAAAGAGCTCTCCTCGTCAAACTGACTGCCCAGAGTCATCACACTCATAGTATCATCAGACGACACACGTCCATTCTCCAGCTGAGCCATCATGATCCTGTACGAACACACCCCGCTGAGAAGTTCACTTACAGGACATCACCTGACCCCATCTGTAGGCATCCCACGAGAAAACGTCGAATTAATTTATTGTGACGTTTCACCTTTAACTGATTCCAAATCAGGCCAATCAAAACTAACAGACCCACCACGACTTTTTAAACTTTATTTCCAGCGTTTCGTATGCAAGTTAGGTGTTGTGCGTCTATTAAAGCTACAACGCCTTCTAAACCGGATTACTGTGCGTTTAAATCACTCGAGTTAAATGCTAAATTAGCTTAGCGCGCGACGTGTCACTATCCCAACCCACAGTTAATTTAATCCCAAAAAATGACGAATGAAAAAGTACTTTACATATGCAGAAAAACCGCCCGAAAAAACGTGTAAACAACCGGACGACCGAAACTACGCCTGAATTTCCTGAATCACATTTTTCCAGTCCACAGATTGTCAGGTCTCGCGCTCAAAGAGTCCAGCGGATTGTTTTCATTCAGCACGCCGTTGTTTGAGGGTGAAAAGAGAACAGATTCCCAGTTAAGATGCAGCAACAGAGATGTTTTCGTAGTTTAGGTCGAGATCCCATGGTTGAGAGGTAAATAATCAAGTAAATGTCACATCAGTCGAGCCGTGTTTTTAGTGTTAGGGTGGCGATGATTACATTAGCGCTGAGTTTCCATTCTTTCGCTGTTGCGTTTGACAGTTCTGCACATGCGCGTCTGTGTCACTTCCGGAATCCACAGGTTATATTTGCATGCATTGCATGTCGTATTTGTATGGAATCTGCGAAAGTTTGTCGAGGTCTAATTTGAATCATTGTAATCTTTATGTGACAGACTAGGAGGGGGAATATAAGTTAATAATAAAAATAATAAATATATTTTATATTAAAAGATTTAGACTGTTCGTTTTATTTTAATATTATAGAAAATGTTAGTTAGCCTAGCCTACTTTCTAATTTCAAAAAAATGACAGTAAAAGAGGATTCAAATAGCCAAAGGAATTTTTTCTCGAGGTTTAATTTGAATTAATGCAAACTTTACGGGAAAAATCAAGGGAAGAAAGACATTTATTATAAAAATTATAATAAGTAAGAGAGTATAGGCTAATTTAAACTCTATTAAATATTATTATTATTATATACATTTATTGTATTATATTAGTAGTAATACACAGTCTAGCAGGCTGTTTTTACAAATTTTCAGTCTTTTCAGTCTTCAACAATGAATTTTAGCCTATATTCATTATTCATTCAGTCATTAGTCTCATGTCGTTCCAAACCTTTATGCATTTCTTTCTGAACACAAACGTCGATATTTTGAAGAACATTTGGGTCAATAAGCATTGAACTCCATTAAAATAGACATTTTATTTTTTTTTTTTTTTTTGTTAAAGAAAGCCATACTAGTTAAGAATGGCATGAGGAAGAAAAGGGCCAAATATTAATTTATTTTCCAAAAAAGTTGGATTTGTTATTTTATCCTAAATAATAGTTTATCATATATAAAACATGTTATTTTAAATAGCACATTTTTTATTAATTTTTTATGCGCCATTAGTCCAAGAATTCAAGGGCCTGGCAAGCTCCAGTGGCCTAACTAAATGCAGTTCAACTAACTGTCTGTGGGGGGCAGCAATTACAGACATAATTCACAAGTGAGCAAATAGTCCACCCTTATGGTCTTTTCTAATGTTCAGTCATGTTCAGAAATAGTATGATAGTAATAATATGTATCTATTCTGCATATTAATTGAGTGTAATTTCATAAAACTGAAATAAATCAGCTGTAGCCTTCATGTAATATCATTTTTTCTCTCTCGATTATATACAGTCGAAGATCCTGTTTTGTGTTATGAATCACAATGTTGTCGTGCAGTGTACTGCTCATTAAAAGAAAACAAGCAACATTGGAAGTCATTGCCTTTATTATATCTAGCACTAAATGTCGTTTTAAAATTCAAAACAAAGATTTAAATAATGAAAGCTGATATACAAGAGGGTTGACATGAACACAATTCTTTATTCAAGACTCCTCTTTCTCATCCCCATGCGTGATAATGTAACAAAGTGATTTATAGTCAATATTCCCAGCCACGTCAATTGGAGCGACTGCAAAAGCCTGGTCAACCTGAAATAGAGTAAGCAGATTAGACCATCGCCTAAGTGATTCTTCTAAAAGTACACATTCTTATCACAGCGCAGGCTATTAAAAAATAAAATATTAATAAAATATTATAGAAAAATATTAATAAAGTTGAGAAACATTGTGGGTCTCTACTGATTTTTTAGTCGATTAATATTTTAAATGCAAATATTAACCTCGTCTGCTGTGAATTTATCAGCTTGGTTCATTAGCAGTCTCTTAAACCTGAAACAAAATGACACCAAATACATCAATAGTCTTTTAAAAAGCACAGTAAAATACAGTATTGTTTTGTACACTTACTCATCCTTATTGACAACTCCTGTAGCATTTGGGTCGAAGAGTTTAAAAGCGGCAAGAATGGTTTCCTCTGGGTCTGTTCCTGTTTTGGATATTACAAAGTTATAGTAAATCCTCTGCTCTTTTAAGACGTATATTTTTGTTATTCATCGAGACCTTGAAAGAACTTGTTTAGCCATCATACCATTGAGCTTTTCTCCGAAGAGAGTGAGAAAGACAGTGAAGTTGATGGGCCCTTTTCCTTCTGCTAACATTGACTCCAGCTCTTCGTCACTCACATTCAGCTTCCCTGCACAAACAAAGAACTCAATGTTTATATAAAAAGCTGTTTACTTATACGATGTTTTGTATTTAAGATGAAACTAGCAAATGCATTTTATATACCCAGTTGTCCATAAGTTTCCTTCAAGTCAGCTTTGTTAATAACTCCATCCCGGTTCTGATCTATGCAGCCAAATGCCTAGAGAGAAGCACATAATGTATAACACAAGATTATTTATTTGTTATATTGAAGCAAGCATGATATCAACTCCTGCTCCTATAGTTTTTTATCACATGTGACTATTTATCGTATCACATTTTCAAAGTACACATTGTTTCAAAGCAACTTTACAGAAAATCAAGATGTCAGATTATAATATCTTAATGCCTTCATGCCTTATTTGCATTTAGCTTGAGCTGGGCAATGATGTAATTATATTTTGCAATGATATAAATAAACAAGCAGTTGAGATTTGTTATAGAATATATAGATTTACACGAGTGGCATTATTTATGTCTGAGTACATGAGTATTTATATTGTCACAAAATGTAAACTAATGCACAGCTTATATTGGATATATATGTACAATATACATGTTGACACGTGAAATAATATAGTTTGACGGTATAAATAATCACGGAGCAGAGGTTTGATATTTTGCTTTACGTGATTGTAGTATACTTACTGTATACATCCATGTAATGTTTTGTTCAGTTTGGTTTTCATATAATATAAAGACTGACCTCCTTAAACTCCTGTATTTGTGATTGCTCAAACATGGAGAAGACATTAGAAGAGCCCCTTTGAGCAACTTTCCCCCTCTTAGATGCAGCTTTCTTACTTGCCTGTAAGTAATAAAGACAGAAAAAATCAATAAAAATCATAATTGGAAGCACCAGGTAGGCAGCCTATAACATTAAATCCACTGCAATAAATATACTGTAGTTCAGTGAAATTTCTTATTTGAGACTAATGTCACAGAATAAAAAATGTTCAAGAAAATGTTTATGCTTTTATTGGCTAAAATTCTCATATTAAATGACAATATTAATAGAAGAAGTAGTTCAATAGTGTATAGTGCTTCTATATACATCCATCCATTTACATTAACTGACTGTATATTCAAAAGCAAAACCATAGAAAAAAAGAAGCCGTATCCACTCACCATGTTCACTGTCTGCTTTGCTCTGTGTATGTGCTCCAGGGCCAGGGGTGTTGCTCATTGAGTCTTTATGTATGAGGACTCTTATCACTTGTCTCTCTATAAAGGTCTGCACTGCTTCTGTTAGTACCCTACATGGGCACCCAGAGCCTTCTAAATACAGGAGCCATGATAACAGCACAAGTACTTAGATTCCAGCAGGGACCGAGGACGTGTGGATGAGGAGGGGAGAGTAAATACTAGAGATTTTAAGGGATTAAATTGATGGATGGATGGATGGATGGATGGGTGGATGGATGCAATGAAACTGAGTGAATGTGAATGGAAGGAACAAAGGCCTGAGAATGTGAGTCTGAGTGGCAGTATTCAAACTAATTAGGGCAGCCCATGACATGGAGAACTACAAAGGTTCCATATTAATAGTGTACTTGAGCAAAGCTCTGGGACACACAGTCCCTGTGACTGAAATATTGAATAGGGTACTGTGTGCGAGGAAAACTGTTTATAGACTGTTTGACAGCACTGTGCACGGGGAGCCATTTTTAAACTGTACTCTTTATACTATTTTTTTTTTTTTCATAAAGTCCCATTTTAGAATTAGAGTTAGAAATGCCAGAATGGTGAATCAATCAGGAGTTATTGTTTTGGGTCATATGGGTTGGCATAATGGTTTTCTGGATCATTCAGACAGCTTACTTGTATTGATTTATTAGGGTCCCTTCATAAAGAACATGTTTTTGCCATAAAACACACCAGACACATGGCAGTAGAATAAGAGAAATTAAAATCAAAGATTTGATTTTAAAAGATGAACTTCTTTTAATTTGAGAACAGCATTTTTGGAATTAGCCCATGATATGGGCTTAAGGAATGGGTCCCAAAAGAGTTTGTCCATGGATTCCAATAGCTCATACAGGGCTACTTCAGATCGGCCGCAATTGAACCCATGGACACAGCAGTGTAAGTTCATTCCTTAAAGGGTTAGTTCACCCAAAAATGAAAATTAAGTCATTAATTACTCACCCCCATGCTGTACCAACCCCGTAAGACCTTCGTTCGTCTTCGGAACACAAATGAAGATATTTTTGATTAAATTTGAGAGCTGTATAACTACCACATTGGCTCCTAAAGGACTGCCTCTTGACGGCCCAGAAAGTCAATGAAGAAAATGTTTAAATATCCCAAGTGACTACCGTGGCTCAACTATATGTTTATCAAGCGATGCGAATACTTTTTGTGCGAAAAAACAAACAAAAATAACGAGTTTATTCGACTATTTCTTTTCTTCCTTGTAGGCCAGAACGAGACTTCCTTAGATTTCCACGACGCATGCGCGAGAATTGCGATCTGAAGTAGTGTAAGCTGGTGTGAGCAGATCGCAATTCTCGCGCATGCGTCGTGGAAATCTAAGGAAGTCGCGTTCTGGCCTACAAGGAAGAAAAGAAATAGTCGAATAAACTCGTTATTTTTGTTTGTTTTTTCGCACAAAAAGTATTCGCATCGCTTGATAAACATATAGTTGAGCCACGGTAGTCACTTGGGATATTTAAACATTTTCTTCATTGACTTTTTGGGCCGTCAAGAGGCAGTCCCTTAGGAGCCAATGTGGTAGTTATACAGCTCTCAAATTTAATCAAAAATATCTTCATTTGTGTTCCGAAGACGAATGAAGGTCTTACGGGGTTGGTACAGCATGGGGGTGAGTAATTAATGACTTAATTTTCATTTTTGGGTGAACTAACCCTTTAAGCTCATTTCGAGCCCAGATATGGGTGTATTGTGCAAGATGCTGCAAAAAGACACAAGATTTGACAGTCAAACATGTCCGTCTATCTACATAGTCACAGGCCG